AAAAGCCTAAAACTGTTTTTAATTTTTTTTAATGAATAAACAAAGTATGATTTTTTAAAAATGTAATGGATTAAACATAGATATGATGAGATTAAATATTTCAATTTTTAACATTGAATTCAACATTTGCCAATGCTTTCACAACGGTAACATGTGGCTTTTCCTCTTGATTAAAATAGATATTTTCAAATATTTCATTGTAAGCAGACGGAAGATTGATTTCCAATTTTTTTGCCAGTTCAGCTACGGATAATTCTTTAGCATCATTTTCAATCATTACATAAGTTTCCAATATGATAATTTTTTGTAAAATTTGAGCCAAATCATATTCATTACAGATATTGTTCATAAATGATATTAATTTTTTAAAAATTCTATACTTTTCGTTTAAATCGTTACAAAAATATGCTGATTTCATTTCACCGCAAAATTTTAGAAATTCCATCCTTTCATTTAACATATCATGTCTTTGGCCCATACAGATATATGTATAAGTGAAATTCAAATTGATTATCGATACTGTTTTCGGTTCAAGATGTATTGTCATCGGTGAACGAGAAAAATTATTGAAAGTAATTTGTTCACCAGTTTTGATCGGTTTAGTTGCACGCATTACAAGTTGAATACCATTGAACAATATTTTAGTGCTTGGTGGACGGAAAGGTTTCAATTGTGATTCGGCAATATAAAGGCCAATGCCTAAATTTTGAATTTGATAATTGAAAATATCCAAGCCATATTCTCTGCCTAACTCTTCACATATAGTCATTCTTTCTGAATCCCATTCAATTTCCAACAATTGGAATTGTTCTCTCATATATAAAAAGGATTCTTTAATTTTAATTCGATGAAATGTCGGAATAAAATTCTGATTTTGAATATCATTGAGAGATACTGCTGAATTTTCATCGTTCAGAAATTGACGCCGTTCGTAAAAAAGTTCGGGATTGTGTTTTAAGTACAGATTCAATCGTAACACAAATCGAAAAAATAGATGATCTAGATGGTTAGTCTCTTTGAGTTGATCAAGTTTATTTTTATAAATTTTACATTCCAATTTATGTTGAATCCAATCTTTTTGTTGACATTCTTTTCCACAATAATACATTTTGTTACATCGACCACATTTTCCTAATTCATTACTTTTGCTAAGAAAAATATTCAAAAAGAAAAAATTAATGAATATTTTTTTCGAAATGAAAACAATTGAAACTTACCATTCAACGAAACAGTAATCACAATTTATACCTTTAAATTCTTTTCTGAGAACATGTACAAATGGTGAACTGATGGATATTATTTCACCAGCTTGATAATCACGATGACTGGTCATTGTTTGTTTGGTTTTTGGTGATAATCTTTCACGAATGAATCGAACCAAACTTTTAGAAAAGAGAAATTAGTTTCAGTATTTCGAGTCAACTTGTTGTTGTAGAATAGAAGATTTAGAAATGAATGAAAAGTTTTTCAATCAAACTTTCGATTTTTCTATCATATACATCAATGGAAATTTCGAAATCATTTGGATGAACGGGAAAAGCGAGACAAAAGAAAATTGAGAGGAAAAAAATGTTTGACAAATGTTTCGATAATCGATACATTCGTTCATCACATTTTAAACAAAAAATCAAAATTTGTTTCAAAAAAGCCTAAAACTGTTTTTAATTTTTTTAATGAATAAACAAAGTATGATTTTTAAAAATGTAATGGATTAAATACAGATATGATAAGAGTAAATTTTTCAATTTTTGACATTAAATTCAATATTTGCCAATGCTTTCATAACGGTAACATCTGCTTCTTCCTCTCGATTAAAATAGATATTTTCGAATATTTCATTATAAACAGCCGGTAGTGTGATTTTAAGTTGTTTTGCTAGTTCGGCAGCGGATAATTCTTTAGCATCATCGTGAATATTAACATAAATGTCCAACATTAAAATTTTGTGTAAAATTAGACCCAAATGGCATTCACTACAGAATTCGTTTATCATTGACAAAAATTTTTCACAAATTCTATACTTTTCCTCCAAATCGAACTCCAAATCTACAGACATTATTTGAGAGCCTAATTGTAGAAATTCTCTCATTGAATGAATTTGATTTTCTATTACACATTCTTTACATATATATGAGAAATTATTAAACATAATTGATTCTGTCCACGATTCAAACAATAACATTGCCTTAAAAAATGTAAAATTATTAACGGTAATTTGTTCACCAGATTTAATCGGACTAGTTGCACGCATTACAATTTGTGATCCATTGAACAATGTTTTAGCATTCGATAAACACGAATGCTTCAATTGTGATTCTGCAATATAGAGGCCTAAGCCTATTTCTTTCATTTCATAATTGAAAATTTCGATACCATAAACTCGAAATATTTTATGACATAACGCTATTCTTACCGGATCGTATTCTATTTTCAGCAATAAAAATCGTTCTCTCATGTATGTAAAACGACAAAAATTCATTGGATCATATTTCGAGGGAAAATTCTGTTTGATGATGTCATCGAGGCAAACGGCTGAATTTTCATCGTTCAATAATTTATGTCGTTCGTAAAAAATTTCTGAATTGTGTTTCAAGTACAGATATAATCGTAACACGAATCGAAAATATAGATCATCACTTTTTCCAATCGCATAGAGTTGATCGAATTTTTTTTTATAAATTTTACATTCAAATTTATGTTGAATCCAATCTTTTTGTTGACATTCTTTTCCACAA